TGCCCCCCCGCCATTGGGGGGGGGGGGGGGCGGGCGAGCTGCTGTCGACGGCTGCTCACAGCGCACGGCGCAAGCGTTGCGTGCCGCCACGGACACGCAGCGCCGCGCTTTGCTAAGCAGCCTGCAAGAGTGCGTTGCTCGCTGCGCCCACGCCTGCCCCGGCCCCGCCTGACCCTCCCTTGCAGTGAGCGACGGGCGCACGGCGCTGGGCATGCCGCGCGCGGGCAGCCACCCAGCCCTCTCGCAGCTGGGCACCTCGCTGCCGCGCGGCGGCTTCCTGTCGCCACGCCGCTCGCCGCAGCCGCCGCAGCCGCTGGGACAAGACACGGGTGCGCCGCTCCTTTCTTCTTCCTCTTCTTCTTTCAGCCCGCCTGGCTGCCGGCCCACAGAAGCTGGGCGGTGCCGCGGCCGTGTGCGGCCACTTAGCCGCCTGCGCGTCGGGGGGCTGTGCGGTTTGGGAGCAGCGCGGGCTGCACAGCACGGGCAGGCGCCAGAGCGTGCCTGCCGCCTGTCTCGCGCGCTCCGGCGGCGAGCCCTTCCCTTGCACTCACACTTACATGTACCGTCCTTTCTTCCCGCAGATGCTGACCTGGACTTTTTGTTGGATGAGCTGGCAGCGCCCATGCGCGAGGCGCCGGCGCCCTTTGTGGTGAGGAGCTTACCGGGCGAACAGCGCCAGGGGCGGCGCCAGCAGCAGCAGCAGCAGCAGCGGCGGCGGCACCAGCGGCAGCTTGCTCTGGCCTCTGCCGTGCCGGCGCGGCGCCGCGGCGTGCTGCTGCGCGTGTGCGGGGCGATGAGCGGGCGGCGGCGTGGCGGCCGGCCGCGCCCGCCCCTCAGCCCTTGGCCCGCGGCTGGCATGCCGCCCGCTCGTTTTTATTTTTTTGCCTGACTGCTCGGCGGGCGGCAGCCCTTGGCCTGCCAGCAATCTCCAGGCCTGGCCCCACTCCGCCCCTCACCTGCCTGCCAATGCCTCACCTGCCCGCCACCGCCGCCGCCGCCGCCCCGCTGCCTCCCCACCGCAGGAGCCGCGGCGCGTGGGCGGGCCGCTGCCGCTGATGCGCCCGGCAGACCCGCTGCACCTCCGCATTCTGGTGGATCACTCCTGCATTGAGGTGTACACAGGCACAGGGGAGGTGAGGCGGCGGCGGATGCGGCGGCGGGGTGCAGAGAGGGGTGCAGAGAGGGGGTGCAGGACCAGGCTCTGCCGCTGCCGCTGCCGCTGCCGCTGCGGCTGGCTGCTCCTGGCAGGCCCGCCCCGTCCCTCGACGGCGGCCTCTGCGCTGCCCCCGACGCGCCGCCTGAGCAAGCCCGCCGCCGTGCCTGCCCCTGCCGCCGTGCGAGCAGGCGCTGAGTACCCGCATCTATAGGGGTCCCGCCCCTGAGGGCTGTGCGGATGCTGGCATCTCCTTCCTGGCCTTTGGAGGCACGGCACACATCAAGCACTGCGTGACTTTTGAGATGGGCTCCGCCTGGCAGCAGCCCGAGGCTGTGGCGGCCAAGGCGGCGGTGGCAGAGGCAGCCACGGCGGCCGCCGCCAGCCCCAAGCAGCCGCCGCCGCCCGCCGCTGGGTCGCCGGCGCCGGCGGCGCCGCCCGGCGGCAGGGCCGGCAGCGCGCTGACGGCGTCGCTGGCGGCGGCCAGGGGCGGCGAGGGCGGCGCGGCAGCGCCGCCCCCGGCGGGCGCAGACGGCGACGCGGCGGCGGCGGCGGCTGCACAGGCGTCGGTGGCAGCTGCGGCTGCGGACCTGCTGCTGGAGGATCTTGTCACCATGTGCATCTCCCCCCAGTGCAGCACCTCGATGATTGGGGCCTGAGCTGGCGATGATTGGGGCCTGAGGTACCCAGCGCAGCCATAGGCAGCCGCGCGTGCCACGCCACCCTACCCATGTCCCTCCTGTTCCCTCCTGTTCCAACTAAAAAGCTTCAATCTTAAAACAGAAAACGCATGTTCCAGACCCCCCTCCCTCCCATGCTCTCCCTTCCCTCCCTCCCTTTTAATCCCCACTCTGGCCCTCCCGGGCACCCTCTCTTTTTCAGACCTCTGCTGCACTGGAAAGCATCACTGCCTGATGCGCGCCCCTTGGGCTGGGCCTGCCGCCCCACCGCTGCCTTGCTTGCATCAATTGCATCGCCACTCTCTTTCTCGCCCAGCCTCTCCCCAGCGCGGGTGAGCCCCCGCGACCGCTCTTTCTGCCTCCGCTGCGGCACCGCGCTCCCCCTGCTGCCATTGGGCGCCTGGCCCTGCCAGCCTGCCGCCGCTGCCAGGTGGCGCAGCCTGTGCTGGCTGGGATACCCCAGGGATGGCTGCTGCCTTGTTGCCCCCATTGATCTATCCGCCACAGAGCGGCGCAGGTGCGCCAGGCCAGGGCCCCCGGGAGCTGCATGGGAAGCTGCATGCACGCTTGCCTGCTTGTAACGCAAACATTCTTGTTGACATCTGTTGACATTTGTTGAGGCACGGTGGGAGCCGTGGGCTACCCGCGGAAGGGCAGGGGCCAGTGAAGGGAGGGGGGCAGGGGGAG